GGGATCTTGTCATTTGGAGATGCCAATTCGTCGACTGTCAATCCACACCGGGCAAATGTCTACACCAAAGTTGAGGACTACCTTCCATGGATCGATCATACTATTAAAAATTTCTCTTGAAAAAAAATCTCTATGCTGTATTTTGCCATATATCTGTGTACTAAAAAAAACCAACAATGCTGGACTCTGAAATTTTATCCATTTATTTGTCCAATTGAATTTGAGAAAATTTTCTCAGCAAATCTCTTGTTCTTGGAAAGGATATACAGTATATATATATAGAAAATGCTGTACCCAGTATCACAAGAATACTCTGCAGAATTTTATAGAATTTGTGAGAAAAATTTCTTTAGGTTCCCAGAAACCTTGAGAAGAATACTATAGAGAATATTTTTAGATCATCTTTCTAGAACTTTCCATAGGCATATATAAGGGCCAACCCATCCAGCCAGGGATTCATTCCTTGCTTAGCTCCAGAGCTGGAAAGAGGTAGTATAGTAATGTGAAGAAGTGAAAGATGAGGTGTAGTGAACTCCCTAACATTAGTGCTATAGAAATGAACCCTGGGAGTTTGTATCTTTCAAAAGTAGTTTTAGTGAAGTCTGAAATTTTATATTGAGGTGGTTTAGATTAAATGACTGACAGCAAGTGCACTACCTCCATTGTCTCTAGAGATAATTGGTGAACAATTGCAGACTTCTTGAGGACATTCTTGAGTATTCTGGATTGTTCCAGATATCAATCCTATCCAATTGTGAAATACTCATTTGGCTGTCTGGAACATTCCTGAAAGTGTCTAAAAGTGGTTGTTGTGCAGTGTTTAACTACAGTATATGATTGTGTTTCATCTGTACATTTCAGAACTGAGTGTTGAAGTTTGTACTTGTGGAACTGTTCATTTTGTGAATCGCCAAACAGTGCTAAATAAAGCCTACTTATTGTGGCTAATCCAAACCTTGCCTGCTTGTGTGTCCCTACTATTGAGTGCTCACCAAGCATCAGCAGTGACAAAACACACTAGTGCTAGTATCTTCAGTAAGTAAAGTACAGTATACCAAATTCATCAAACCAACCACACTCAAGAGTGTGGTTGGTAATGATGTTTTTGTGTTTCGAGATTTCGATTTCAATGGCGGTTTTGCTTGTCTACCAATGGTACGTGGTGTCAGGTGGTGAGCTTTTCAAAAAAAATTACATGATTTTAAAGCATAACTTTGACATCAGTTTTTCAAAATGATTTACAGCTGGAAAGAATTGGCCTTATGGAGGAAAGGAATTTTCCAGATCGTCTGATGAGTTTCATCGAAAATCTGTTCTAAGCCTACACAGGATTGTTGGTGGGGTTCAAGTCAAGAAAGGTATTTATTATCCAGAACAGTATTGTAGTCGTGAGACCCCCACATGCGGACGCCTCGACATGGGGACATTTCAACATGGGGACATTTATTTTTTAACAAAAAAATCATAAAAAAGACCCAACATGAGGACACTGACTCGACCTGGGGACATTGCAGGATAAAATTCCACAAAAAATTCTAGGAAAATCAATTTTTATAAGGCTTAATTGCAAGAAACAGATGTTTCCAACCTAAGATCTATGCAAGAAAATTTCTTTGGTACTTTTCCCATCATTTTACCATCCATTCAGCTAATTAAAAAAATTCCCTATAGCACAGAGGGACTTCCTTCTAGCTCTCTTTATGACATGGATGTTATTTTTCCAGATGCCAACTTTTCAATTTACTGTACAGAGGTACACTATTCAATGTTCCAAATGTTCTTATTGGTTTGAAAAGATATTCATTGAATCAAATTCAAGTGGCAAAATTTTTTTTNAAGAAATTCCCTCTGGAGCCTCCATTATTTCAAATTTTCTGAGGCCTCTTGGTCATAATTTTCTTGACACAAAAAATAAAAGAGCAATTTAAAAAATAACTTGAGGTGTTCTGAATGCAAGTGAAAAACAAAATGCTGGCCTCCAAGTCCAGCATCCTTTCAACTCATTTGAGAAGTAATGTAAGTCAGGCCCATCAGAATATCAACATTTACAATTTCCTGCAAATCTTCCATGTTTCCCACAGAAAAAATGCTTCTTTTTCCAAGTCAAAACCTCATCTGTATTTTAGTCAATTTTTGCTGGTCCCTTTGAATTTTACTTGGAGAGGTTTAACTACATTTTAGGGATCTTAAAAAAAGAGCAATGAATATATAACTTCCTGTTTCTCAAAAGAAACTGAGTAACTAATTGGGCAAAAAGAGCATTTTTCTTCCAAATTTATTACTGTATATCTGTCAACTCATCAACCCAGTAGTTTGAAGCCCATAAGAACACAAATTTAACCTTAGAAAAGAATTTAATAATTTTTATTTTTTCTGCAAAAATTATAATTTCTCTTCTCAAAAAATCCCTTTGGAATGTTTTGTGGGTTCATCTGAGTTGGGCTTAGAACTCTTCAGTGGTGGAGGGTTCTTTTACAGTATACAGCTTTGCTGGGATTTTTTTCAGGCTAGCACATTTTTGTTTGACAAAAAAATACCAAAATGGCACCAAGGAAAAGTGGCCTAAGCCAGGTAATATTTGGATAAGCCAGGGGAAGGAAACTGGCAAAGTCCAGAAAAATCTCAAGGTTAATCCCATGGTTGAAAAAGGTTGACAAGCCTTTGGAGAGGTTTTTTTGGCTGGCTCTCCCAAAACCGTTGCACAGATAAAAAGAAAAACATGACTATTTTCCAACTTGGGCTAAATTTGCTGCTGAAATATATTTTTTGAAATTTAAAAATGACCTGTGACTATTGTGAGTGATTCCTGCAAAAATATCCCAGCACTGCTGCGAATAGGGTTCAATGAGTCTGACTGATGTATGCAGTATTGATGCTGTATAATGATATTTTAGTACGTTAAAGTCGGAAAATGAGTGTCCACTTAACGGTATGGTCCGCCGGGAAAACAAAGGATCGTGACTCCCTCAGTGAAAAAAGACACCTCCTCAAAACTAAAGGTGGTCTACCCAGTACTGACCAGGTCATTGCTTCCCACAAGCTGCCAATTCAATGGTCTCTGTACATTTTTGCAAAAGCGAGCTCTTTTCACTTGTATGTTCCCATATAATAAGGCACATTTTAATTCTATGCTGACACTGGACAGTTAAATGTATTTTTACATTGTAACATCCTCAAATTAATACATTTTGGAGAAAAATGAGCATTTGTGGCTGGATGCTGGCTTTATTTTCTTCAAGCATCCCGTTTTTACCTATAAAGTATTTCTTGATGTAATCAGCCATTTCACTTTGTCATGATTACCATAATTTCAAAAACTGAATCATGAATGGAAAAAATATGGATTTTAATCCATTTCCTATATAGCAAGTTCAAAACAGCATTCAAGAAAGGGCGCTTTAAAAGCTCGTGCCAAATGGGCCCCAAATACAACCTTACTATCAGTTTTACCATTGAAAAAACTATCAAGTTTTCTACTGGAATGTAAAAGAAGAAAACTGAAAAAAGTTTAAACACTATTGAGGTTGTAACACACACGAACTTGTTGGACACTAAAGAAAGACTTAACAAAAACAAAATAAATGTTTACTGAATCTTGAATATTTTACAATACATTATTAACAAATTTTACATTTTAAAACCTAACGTTCATATAAAAGTCTTGAGTATTTTATATGTTTGTGCAATATTAATAATTGTAAAAAAATATATAGAGTTCTAAGCCTGCTTTCAGATGTAATTCATCCTTTTCAAATAAGATTTTTGATACAGGTGGTACCTTGCAATTTGACCATAATCAATTGCCAATTATGCCAAACTAGCGTCAAATTGCAAAAAAGTCAAATTGCAGAACACTATAAAATCAAAGGCAAAGAGCACAAAAATGCTAGAAAAAGAGGTTCAAACAGGTTGAATTTGGGAAGAGGTCAAATTGTGAGTGAAAGTCCAAGCAAACTTGACCATCACATTGCTGGACAGTTGAATTGCAGGAGGTCAAATTGCAAGGTACCACCTGTATTTTAGATTCAATCAGCATGGTCACAAATTGTAAAAATCGCAATTTTTGAGTCCCCCTTTACATCTGATTTTATCACATTGCTGGACAGTTGAATTGCAGGAGGTCAAATTGCAAGGTACCACCTGTATTTTAGATTCAATCAGCATGGTCACAAATTGTAAAAATCGCAATTTTTGAGTCCCCCTTTACATCTGATTTTTTCCTGCTCACCCTGCAAAATTCCAAGAAATGATTTGGATGAATGAGACCAATAGAAAGGTTGAGTGGAACATTCAATTGAAAAGAACTAAAAGTTATTTTAATATTCTGGATTCATCAAAATGACTGCCTTTTTCAAAGGTGGTACTTGGGAGAAATAATAATAGAAAATACCTTGGACTCGTTGTCCTCAAAGAACAGTTTTTCCGTTAAGTTGTAGGTTTTAAGGTCCAGAGACCCATTCGGTTATAGTAGTAGGAACTCGTTTAAAGTTTTTATGTCAGTTGGGCCACACACTAGACCTTCCACACAACAGATTTTTTCAGAACATCAGACCATCTCAGGAGGCAGATTATCCTCTTGCATAACAGACAAATCTGCATAAAAGACTTTAGTGTGTAGAAGTGTGCTCTGCCAGTGGACAGGAGTCCCTCACATCCCTGCCCTTGCTTCCCAACTTAATATGAATAAAAATTTCATAATTATTGGTGTAAATGTGTGTGTTGTGTTTACTACTTCTTTTGGCTGTAATCCTGCTTGTTTTGTATAAACGTATAAGAAAGCATTCCATGTGTAAACATATAGGGAAATCAAATTTGCATAACAGTCTTTACACATAACAGACTATTCTGTTGCACAAATTAAGTCCATTGTGCAGGGGTTGGCTGTAAATTCATTCAATGAGCCTATGAAAATGTCTTATACTTGTTTATACTGTATAATAATTAATGAGAAAACAGATTTCTTGTCACTCAGTCATAATCTCCAACAATGACATTAAATTTCTTTCTTGAATCTGTTATTGTAAATAATTATTCATTTGCATTATCCATAATTTGCAGGTTGACAGTGTTTAATGACATAGGACTGTTGCTATTAGATGGTGCAGTAAAAATCAACACATATGCCAAACCAATCATTCTTCCTTGTGATGACAGCCAACCAATGGGTGAGTTTCTTGTTCAAACATAGTNTTATCTTTTATGGAACCTGAGCAACAGGAGTTTCTTGTCAAAAAGGCAATTCAACATCCAAAATTCCAGGTCTCTGGGTAAGCCAATATCATCATCCTTGAGCAAATTTCAAAAATACAGTCAACCCTCACACACTAGACCTTCCACACAACAGATTTTTGCAGAACATCAGACCATCTCAGGAGGCAGATTATCCTCTTGCATAACAGAAAAATCTGCATAAACGACTTCAGTGTGTAGAAGTGTGCTCTGCCAGTGGACAGGAGTCCCTCACATCCCTGCCCTTGCTTCCCAACTTCATTTGAAAACAAATTTCATCATTATTGGTGTAAATGTGTGTGTTGTGTTTACTACTTATTTTGGCTGTAATCCTGCTTGTTTTGTATAAACGTATAAGAACGCATTCCAAGTGTAAACAAATAGGAAAATCAAATTTGCATAACAGGCTTTTCACATAACAGACTAGTCTGTTGCACAAATCAAGTCCATTGTGCAGGGGTTGGCTGTAAATTCATTCAATGAGCCTATGAAAATGTCTTATACTGTACTTCTTTATACTGTATAATGATAAATGAGAAAACAAGATTTCTTGTCACTCAGTCATAATCTCCAACAATGGAATTAAATGTCTTTCTTGAATCTGTTATTGTAAATAATTATTCATTTGCATTATTCCATCATTTGCAGGTTGACAGTGTTTAATGACATAGGACTGTTGCTATTAGATGGTGCAGTAAAAATCAACACATATGCCAAACCAATCATTCTTCCTTGTGATGACAGCCAACCAATGGGTGAGTTTCTTGAATTTGCAGGTTGACAGTGTTTAATGACATAGGACTGTTGCTATTAGATGGTGCAGTAAAAATCAACACATATGCCAAACCAATCATTCTTCCTTGTGATGACAGCCAACCAATGGGTGAGTTTCTTGTTCAAACATAGTTTTCTTGGACTGAGATTCAAAAAATGGAATTAAAATCTGTGGCAGCTGATTTATAAATTTGTGAAAATCTTTGTGAAAGCTATGAGAAGAACTGTAATCTAAAAACAGTAGCAACTTGATGCAAGAAATCTTGCTTGGTCAAGTTATTATGGGAATACAAAATTATGTTTCAAGTCTATGCCCAATATAGCCACTTGAACCATATTCCAATTTTGGTTTCCTGCCTTATTCTTCATCATGAAAAACTTTTTTCAGAACTGAATTATTTGATGCAACAAGATTCAAATACAAAGACAAATTTTGTTTGTATAGAAGCTATTTCACTAATGCTGGTTCCAATGGCTTTTTTTGGAACAGTATTTTACTGTAATACAAATGCAAACTTCACTTCTACACCTATATAGGAACTGCAGTGGCCTCAGGCTGGGGAACCACAGAATCAGAATCAGCGCAAAATCAAGATAACCCTCTGAGCTTTGTGCTGAAAAAAGTGTCACTGCCTCTCATTTCTCCCCAACAATGTGCCAAAATACTCCCAGTCGACTTTCAGCACATTTGTGCTGGCAATTTGACATTTGGCGGGATGGACGCCTGTCGGGGCGACTCAGGAGGGCCCTTGGTTTGTGAAAACAAGTTCATGAGGGGTTCGGGTTCGGGTTCTGCTGCTGCTGCTGCTGGTCATTGCAGCACTCGTCTGTTGGGTTTTGCCAACACTTCCAGTTGCAATAAGGGGCGGTACCCGTTCCAAATACGCCTTCCCCTTTCCGTGGAAACGCCCTAGCACAGGATGCCTAAACCCACGCGAGTTGGACCTGATGGCCCTTAAATGTGGTCCCAACCCATAGTGTAACTAACCATCAAATATGTTACCAGTCAGTTCACAAAACATGGTGAGGTATGATTCTTTAAAGAAAAATAAATAAATGTCAGGGAAAATTCTCCATGATTTTATTATCACCCTCTCTGACCAAATATATATTTTTGATTATTTTACCAGATCTGTCTTTAAATTTTGAACTGACAACAAGAATATGAAAAAATATTTTCCAAAAAAATTGGCATCGCATTTCTAGTGTAAAATACTTTTTTATTGTAGCAGGCTGCAATTAACATGCTCAAAATATTCTTCTATAATTCTCTGAAAATATACAACCTTAAGTCAACATTTTTGACTTTAAAAAATTGTGGATTTGAATGAAGTCATTGGGAAAAAATGCCATGATTTATTTCAAGAGGTCATGATTTTTTTTCGGAAATTGTAGGGGTGTAGTCAAAGTACTAATACAGGTAGACTTGCTCAGCAACAATCTTGTCTGCAACAATTTTCTCTGTACAGTGGCCCCCCGCCTAACAGACCTCCTGTGTAATGGATTTTTGCCAAACAGACCAGCTCTGCAAGCAGTTTTTCCTCCCGCCCAACAGACAAAATCCGCCAAACAGACTTCTTTTGGTTTAAAATTAGTGTTGAAAATTGAAATTTTTAATTTTTTATGTAATTGAATTCGTGTGAAGGACTTTTTGNTGTTGAAAATTGAAATTTTTATTTTTTTATGTAATTGAATTCGTGTGAAGGACTTTTTGTCTAACAGACTTGTCCCTTGCACGAATCAAGTCCATTAGACAGGGGTTGACTGTATATATAGACATGTTGGTCCCATGCTGTAGGGTTTCCTCAAACCAATTTAATGGGGGATCTCTGCAACAAAATTCTCTCTACAACAAAATTTTTTCTGCTCCCCTGAATTTTATTTCATATGGTTCCTTATGTACAGTGTGTCATAATAATAGCTGGGCTATGCTTTAGATTTGTATCATGGTCCCATACCATTCAAAAGACAAACATTTTAAACATGAAGGCTGAAGAATAATTTTAATTTCAGATCACTTCATCTGTGATTCCCTGAAATCAATTGCTGGCAGCAGGGAACCCTGGGAAAAATCAAATCAGTGTGGCATCAAGAGTGTATCTTGGGAAGAAACAGTTCAGCATGGTGGCAACAACATTGAACATTGTGGGGCACTTGGAATATTTGGAAGAGGAACATTCAGTGCCAGAAATATATCTTGTTTAGGGATTTTGGTACACCAAGAATACTTCCTCATGCCAACTGCTTGCTTGGGAAAAGGATTCATCATCAAGCCCATGAGTCATTGGGTTTGAAGAAAATTTGCCTTTTGATTCATTATTTTCCAAAGGAAATATTTCTAGTGTTTTGAACACTCTTTTGGTGGATATTTTATGAATTTAAGCTGGCTAAAAAGGATGTTAATTCATGTGTGTCAATTGACTGCTCTATACTTACTCAATACACTTCAAGAGTCATAATGCAATCAATTAAAAATTATCACAATAAGAGACATTTGTGGCTATAACTTTTAAGATTATTCAAGGAACTGCACATTTTCAATTCAGGTTCAATTTTCTGAGCAAACAAGACCTGCTGAAAACTGGACACAAAGAAAATGGGTTTCTCATTGGACTCCATACACTCCATCCAAACTCGAAAACATCATATTAAAGTGAACATGTTTACCTAAAATAACACCTATGCATTAGAAGTGGACTCATATATTGTNCCCCGCCATGGGCAAGGTTTATGCGGAAGGGGAAAGGCACCTTTGCGGGATCGTGTCCTACGGATTTGGGTGCGCTCAACCTGGACTACCGGGAATTTACACCAGGGTTGGGTATCACATTGATTGGGTCAAATATGTTACCAGTCAGTTCACAAAACATGGTGAGGTATTTTATTCTTTGAATAAAATAAATAAATGTCAGGGAAAATTCCCCATGATTTTTTTATCACCCTCTCTGACCGAATATATATTTTTGATTATTTTACCAGATTTGTCTTTAAATTTTGAACTGACAACGAGAATATGAAAAAATATTTTCCAAAAAAATTGGTATCGCATTTTTAGTGTAAAATACTTTTCTTTATTGTAGCAGGCAGCAATTAACATGCTTAAAAAATTATTTTATTTGTCTCTGAAAATATACAACCTTAAGTCAACATTTTTTACTTTAAAAAATTGTGGATTTTAATGAAGTCATTGGGAATAAATGCCATGATTTATTTCGAAAGGTGATGATTTTTTTTGCGGAAATTTTAGGGATGTAGTCAAAGCACTAATACAGGTAGACTTGCTCAGCAACAATCTTGTCTGCAACAATTTTCTCTGTATATATAGACGTGTTGGTCCCATGCTGTAGGGTTTCCTCAAACCAATTTAATGGGGGATCTCTGCAACAAAATTACCTCTACAACAAATTTTTTTCTGCTCCCCTGAATTTTATTTCATAGCAGGGTCCACATATACAGTGTGTCATAATAACAGCTGCTGGGCTATATTTTAGATTTGTATCATGGTCCCATACCATTTCAAAGACTAAAATTTTAAACATAAAGGCTGAAGAATAATTTTTATTTTAGATCACTTCATCTGTGATTCCCTGAAATCAATTCCTGGCAGCAGGGAACCCTGGGAAAAATCAAATCAGTTTGGCATCAAGAGTGTATCTTGGGAAGAAACAGTTCAGCATGATGGCAACAACATTGAACATTGTGGGGCACTTGGAATATTTGGAAGAGGAACATTCAGTGCCAGAAATATATCTTGTTTAGGGATTTTGGTGCACCAAGAATACTTCCTCATGCCAACTGCTTGCTTGGGAAAAGGATTCATCATCAAGCCCATGAGTCATTGGGTTTGAAGACAATTCACCTTTTCTTCTTTATTTTCCAAAGGAAATATTTCCAGCGTTTTGAACACTCTTTTGGTGGATATTTTTTTACTTTAAGCTGGCTAAAAAGGATGTTAATTCATGTGTGTCAATTGACTGCTCTATACTTACTCAATTCACTTCAAGAGACATCATTCAATCATTTAAAAAGTATCACAAGAGACATTTGTGGCTATATAACTTTTAAGATTATTCAAGGAACTGCACATTTTCAATTCAGGTTCAATTTTCTGAGCAAACAAGACCTGCTGAAAACTGGACACAAAGAAAATGGGTTTCTCATTGGACTCCATACACTCCATCCAAACTCGAAAACATCATATTAAAGTGAACATGTTTACCTAAAATAACACCTATGCATTAGAAGTGGACTCATATATTGTACGTATTTTATTTCTGTAGACCAGAATCAGTGATGATTGATCATAGGGATCACAAGGCTGGCAATGCACATCAAAGTCCTCTGTCAATCTTGACAGTTGCTGATGTTGGCAACTCATCCACTAATGTTCTTCCTTACAATGACATTCTACAGGAATTTGCCTTGAATGGTACTGTAGTATTGTACATTATATGTATATATTTTAAATTCTACTTGGTAACCCATAATCTGGGTTGTGGTAATGTATACACATTCCTTCATATCCAGGCATGCAAGCAACAATGCTTACAGTGCAGGTGGTGAAAATGGAGGGAAAAGAGTCAAGAATGGTTCTAAGGAAAGTTTCAAGCACCTTTGAAATCTTGGACCTTTGCCCAAAGTACCTTCTGGATCAATTTCCTGCTGTCAGCAGACTTGACTTGATTTGTGTGAAGCACACATCTGGTATTCCTTGTCAGGTGAGACTATGAGAGGCTCCAATGTTTTCAGTTTTGAGCATAAATATGCCAGCTGATCATATTTTTAGCATTAACTTACAGTTATTCTAATGGGTGTATATCACTTGTACTGTACATGAAAAAGTGTGAAAATCTTAGATCTTCATCGTAATGCTTTAGGTTTTCATTAAAATCAGAAAACTTTTGGTTTCCCTTTTCAGGATGCACTGCCTGGAAGCATATTATTCTGTCATAGAAACTCTACTTTTGGGATTGCTGAAGTGTCTCTGTGTGGCATGAAGATTCCAGTTGCAGCCCCTGAGAAACAAAATACTTCTGTCAATAATAAGGCAGAGCAAAAAACTGCAAATGCTTGTGTTTTCAGGAAAATTTCTGTTTTATTGCATGACTAATCTGACCTGAGAAAATTCAAACTGTGGTAGGTATATAACTGCTGGAAATGCACATCAGAATCTGAAGGAAATGTTGCTTCAACCCCCATTTTTTATCTTCCTGTACAGTAATTGATAAAATATTGCAGAGAATTGTTAAAGTTATGTAAACTTGAATGCAGGCTGTCATGCTGCATTGACCAACTCAAAAACTTTGAGAGAGGTAGCAGCTGGGGAAGTATTACCGGTTGGAGGAAATAATACAGTATTTACTGTACATCCATATAGATGAACACATAACATAGATCCACATAAGTCTTATGTGGATCTAAGGTTTTATACTACAGTATTATCATACTGTACATCCATAAGTGATGTGACTTATCATCAGAAACTATCTTTGTAAACAAAGAAAAGTATGCCTCATAAAGTCATAAAGAAAATCAGCCAAAACAAAACTGCAAGAAAAATAGAGATTTTGTAAAAAAAAATTCCGAAAAATTACAGGTTAGGGTGGCAAGTGCAGTATTATTATAAACTGGATAATTTTTTTTATGGGAACGATTCTGCAGGGCGAGCACATGTAACATGTTTGCAGATATATGCAGATACATCACTATTCATCTTATTCTAATATTGCTGCGTGCATAGATTCATGAATCACCAACATTTTTATCAAGGTCATAGCTTGCCAAATTAACATTTGACTAGGGAGACACCTCGACCACGATCCTAACGATCCTTATCGTGGGTTTGACAATGATTGTCGTCAGATGTCGGGCATCAACTCGAGGCAAGGAGCTCCTTCCTTAAAGCTGATCCAGTAGAGTGCAGTACTGTACACTACAGTACTCGTTGAAAATTCGAAATCTCATCCGAGAACGTACGCGGATGTCCGCCTAAACAGTAGTTAGGTTGCGGTTCTATTGCTGCTGAATGATTTTTGGTGTGAGTAATGTCGATTTTGAGCAAGCCAGTGCGACTGAATTTTTCTTGCTACGACGTTGGACACACATGGAGTCCACATTGCACGGAAGCTTCGTTGAAAGTCGGATGTGCAGCCTTAATTGAGAGCCTGAAGATTTACGGAGTCGTTTATTTCGTAAGATTTTGAGAAGTCCGCGCCGGCGATCCGTATTTATGATGTTTCTATGAATGGCAGGTATCCACACTCATTCAAAGGAAACGTTTTAATCGAGATGTGCTGAAAGGTATATTGCAGTCGTCATGCTTTCTGAGTTTCAATGGGTACGGCTTTATACTCTTCTTCTGCATTTCGCGGTGAGTACGCGATAAATCGAGACCAATGTTTCTTACTCATGTGGTGAGATTGATATCAGGTGGATGTTTGGAGGTCTGACTGTATGGTCTTCATCGTACATTCCGGCTTTTTTGGCAAGCTTGACTGCCATATTCATTGAGCAGAAAAATCGTCGGAAGATGCTTTCACTCTACGTTGCGAATGTGGTATGCATTTGTGAAAGACGTTCTGTTCATGAGGAACAAAAAATTTACGCTAATCACGTTTCAGGCCTCGGAAACCCTTCTTCTGATGGCGAGAAACAGAGGATGGCCGGTACCGACTACTGAAAGCTTGCTCTGGCCTTTTTTGTTTTCCATTCTCGTCGCAGCCTCTGTTCATATGGAGAAGAGGGAACTTTTATCCAAAGGCATTGTGTCATCCTTCCTGAGGTAAATTTTATCCATATCTCCGATTTTTAATAAAGCAACTCAAATTAAATTCTGTGTGGCTGTTCTAGGTTTGTTGTGGGGCGGAAGAAAATAACCCCATCGCGTGTTGTTGATGACGATATTCGTCATGGTTCTGACGTGAGTAGCTTGGTTTCCTGCACAAACCGTCGGAGACAGTTGGACGCTGAGTTTCGAGCAGGTAGACCGACTGTCAGTTCGAAGCAATCCGATTCAGGACTTCAGTTGATGAAGTATTGCATCAAGGTATGTTACATATATAATGAGCGAGATTCTGCAAGAGAAAAAAAAAGTGTCGTGAGCGTTGGTGTTTGTTAGCCAATCGGAAACTGCTAAGCTACTTGTAGTTGTGTTCTTCATGAACTTGTAAAAGAAAAGTCTTAATAATCCTGGCAATGACTCTTACTTTTTCTCTGCATTTCACGACGTGACACGGACATTTTCCGCTTCTTAGGGTTTCGCCTATCCATTCGTGGTGGCTTCCGGGTTATCAGTTGTCCTACGATTCCTCAGCAAGTTCCGAAATATTCTCAAGTCGCCGGTTCAGTCATTTAAAAGCACATTGACGGATCCTGGGATATATAAACTCGGATTATTCTTGGGATCATTCACTGGTGTCTTCCGGGTGAGTTTTTATAGCTTCCTTTTATTGATGGTCGCTTTTGAATTTGACGGCGTATTTTGTCTTTCGTTTGGAGTATGTTCATATATTTCTGATCTGTTCAGAGACATCGTTTGACCACCTTTCTTCTCTTTATTTACGCATTAGGTTACCATCAGTGCTTTTAGACTTGCTGGTATCGAATGGAGTCATCGAGAAACCCTGGCCGGATTTTTGGCTGGCTTGTCCATGATGTTCTATCGCTCAACTAATCTTGTAATCTACCTCTGGTTACGTGTCCTGGAAGTGAGTTATTAAATCCGGAATGCATAGTGTAGTGCATTGATTAATTAGCAATACCATATATTTTTTTAGGGGTTTCTCAAAGGCGGAATCTCTGCTGGTATTGTTCCTTCTGTTCCTGGATTCACAGAAGCTTTGTATGCAATATCAACTGCATTGCTTCTGGGGGTCTCCGTCATCGAGCCACATAATTTGAAGCCATCATACTGGAAGTTTCTGAACCGTCTTACTTGGGGCTTGTGAGTAGCATTCGCCTTCTTCCTACTTTTTAAAATGATAATCTTAATTTTAATTTTCTGGACTTGAAATAAATTGTTTGCTGTTATTAGAATTTTGTTTTGATTCGTTGGAGATACTGTATTAAAAATGTTGCTTTGATGTTTTCATCCAGTTCCGCGAACTTTCGGTGTATTATTTAAAATATACCGTGTAGAACAACTTCGATGTGTTGAATGGATTCCTACGATATGTTATGATCCGTATTTTCTGCTGCATTGCTTCGAAAATCATTCTGCGCCACTGTTGTGAAGGATCGAACCTATGTTTTAAATTGAGGTGAATGCGATTTCATGCGTTGCTTCTTTCCGATCATCCGAATTATGGTTCCCATATCCATTAAAATACAGTATTATGCAAGTCCTTTTATTTTCTCTGCCTGGAAGTAATTGCCGCAATATTTTTTAAATCGATTTGAACACTGCGGAAGTACGATGGAAAGTATATTTCATAAGCACTAGAAGAAAGTTTTGGAATAGATTGGGATAGATTTTTTCAGATTTGCTCTTTTTGCATGTTCTTCGAGAAGCTCGAGTTAAATTTCGAGCCTAATCGATAGAAATGCTCTGAAATTGTAAATTACGACTTTCAGATTCTTTGGGTTACTGTACTTGAAACTGATCGCTGGGAATGAAACACGCAAGATTTCTTCAGCTTACAGCATTCGAAGATTTTGGAAAGCAGTGCCGTAATTCATAAATCGAACCAAAATGTTTGATCCCCTCCGTATTCTCGTATGTTTTCTATTCTCAATTGATTCTGGTCTTCTAAGTCATGCGCGGTGAGAAATCACGTTAGGTTCTATACTTCTATTTTATTTGCAGGCAAGTTATTTTCCCTTCCATTTTTTTTTTTTGATGCATATATTTCTTGGATATATTTTAATGCAACGGAAATTTTTCAGTGTTGGTCAAATGAATCGAAGGCTAATGGATCCTCTTGGATATGAATCCTCCAAGATGGACCCGGACTTTTGGCCTCACTATGACAAGCGGTTCATTTCTTCAGCCTTGAGAAGTTTCTTGACAACCGGCATTTATCCGGTGTCTTGAGCCGTCTTGTGCGTCTTCCTGCGACCTGTGTTGCATACATTTTAGTAATACAGTACTGTACAGTACATTTTTTGGGCTTTGGGAACGTGATACGTCACATGAACGTCGGTTGTGCTTTCGACTGGAACAAAACGTTGGTTACCTGCATTTGGAAACGAGATGCGCAAGCCAGTTGCTCAAAATTTTCATGCATTTACCCAGTGGTGCTTGTGGGAGAAGTATTTTTCATTGTTGGCATATGAGACATGGTCATTCTATGAGGAATTTTCCGAGTGTTCAAATCGTTGGGAATTATTGCATTTCCTGGTGTAGGGGAAATGCACGTTTTATCGTTTTGATTGAGCAGTTTTTCGGAAACGGTCAGGTTCTTGTCACTTCGAAGTCCGACAGTCAACATCTCTTCATATTCCTCACACGAAAGAAAAATTAGTTTTTGCGTGAATTTCTTCGTGTTTTCCTTGGTCGAAGTAAGGGGTGCATTTCTCACATTTGTTTGATTAGCGTGAAGAGTTGATATGAAGCCAGGTTTCCTTTGGCTCAATGATTTGATTAGTTGAGTTACGTCATGAGTTTTAAAAATTAGACCGCATATTCAAGAAATTATGGTTGGGCGTTGAAGTGAAAAGCACCACCGGTTGCTAATGGTGTTGTAAATAATCATGTATTTAATTACACGCAGATGGCTGTGTGTCGATGCAGTGGCTTAATGCAGGGTAGAGATTTGCTGGGGATGTGTGCTTTACGTTCGCGATCTCTGTCGGTAGACGCAGCCTCCATTCTGAAGACGAAGGAAGATTTGAGATCAAAGTACCCCGTGGGTAGCGTTGATTTGGAACTCGATTCCAAATCCGAGATCGCAGTAATCCGACTCTGTCATCCAGCGCGTCGAAATGCTTTGTCGGGGAAAATGATGGCCGAGCTGAACGACCGCATCACAGAGCTGAAGAACTGGAAAGGTCGTGGATTGGTGTTGTGCGGTGGAATTTCTCCCTCGCCTGCGTCTTTCTGTTCCGGCGGGGATTTGAAAACGATGAGTGGCATCATGAGTGAAGGTCCGTCTGCGGGAATGGCAATGTGTGCTTTAATGCAGGATTCCATGGTGAAACTCCGTGCTCTTCCGTTGGTGTCCGTGGCAGTGATTCACGGCACTGCGATCGGAGGTGGTGCTGAGCTCACGACTTGGTGCGATTATCGTGTGTTCACAACAGAAGGATCTGTTTCTTTCGTGCAAATCAAAATGGGGTTGACCACTGGCTGGGGCGGGGGTTCTGGGCTGATGGAAATCCTGGGACGACGGAAAACGCTGAAATTGCTGCTCGCTGGTCCCAAGATATCGCTTCGGTGTGATGATGCGGAGTCTTGGGGTTATTCCGATGCCACGGTGTCAGTTTCGCCTGGGGATGATCCCGCTGAAAAGGGAAAGGAATTTTTGTTGAACAGTGTTCTGAATTCCGAGTTGGACTCTGGTGTTGGAAGGGCTGTGAAGAAAATGGTTGCGAGTGTTGCGGTGGAGCCGTGTATTTCGAATTCCTTGGATAAGGAACGCGAAGTTTTCGGCGAGGTTTGGGGCGGTCCCGTTCAACAAGCCGCGTTCGCGCAATTCTTGAAACGCTGATGATATTGCGTTTCAGTAATCGTTCATTTGGTGCTGGTCATGCATTTCTTTTTTTTTATTTGGTACAAACTAAATCCCTGAGTGATTCCATTGGTGATTGTTAAACCTTGTGAAAGATCACTTCAAGTTACGATGATTTCTGAACGAATTTTTTGCCTTTCTGCAGGGTCAACTCGTTCGATTGAAATTCGTTATCGTTCGGTGTGTTCTGTTGTGAAACCTGTTAGTGACGCATTATGGTCAGTATTACCTTCATATTGTCGATTGTTGTGACTTCTAAATAAATCGAGTCCGATCGTGTTTCAGGCTCAAGCATTGAAGAAGTTCCTTCCATTGTTCGATCGCGTCGTGATCGAGAAAGCTGTGGCTGCGGTCACGACTAAGGGCGGCATCCTGATTCCTGAGAAAGCGCAGGGGAAGATTATTCATGGAACTGTAGTCGCTGTTGGCCCTGGACAGCGTTCTGACGTGAGATCATCTTTCTATATTTTCCACTTCGCGAAGTAATTTCCTCGGGTTTAAGTAAATTGGTTTTTGGAACTTCAGTTCTCGACGACGACGACTGCCTTTTCGTAAATCGTGAATGTAAGAAAGGGACAAGGATTCTATTGTTTCGTAGCGATGGGATTGTAGTTCCATCTCCCGACCTTGCAACCTAAATGTATGAAGTAATTCGTCGGGTTCTGATTTTTTTTTTTTGCGTGGGAAATAGCATTCCAAAGCAAACACAGGAGGCTATGAATATGGATTTTTGTTTGAGTGGCTGTTGCCAACAAGACACGTTTTGATGGCCACTACGCGTTCTACGGCGAACTTTTTGGAAATGTTTCTTTGATTGTTAAATTGATCTTATTCATGTTTTGTTAAATTGCAGACGGGAGATTTTGTTCAGCCTGTAGTGAAAGTGGGTGACGAAGTATTGCTTCCGGAATACGGAGGAACCAAGATCAATTTGGAGGACAAGGAATACTTCATCTATCGCGACTCGGATCTCTTGGGCAAATTCGATCTATGAACTGTGCTCTTCGATAGTTCGAAGACGCCGTTGTGATGCCTGTTTTTTTCCTTTTGATATTCGCGTAGTGGCAATATGAGGCGTTCGAGTTCGTGTTAATGTCGCGAAATTTCTCGACTTGAATTAATTCGATGGGCATGACGTGTGTGCGTTTCCCGGTCTGTATCTCAAGTTTGGGTGCCACGTCAATGAAGCCTTTGATTTTGAGGGAAATCGTCTCGAATTGCTTGAAAGTCTGATTGTGTCTCCACCGGAGATCTTGAAACTTCGCTGTTCGTTTCAGTTCCGAAAATTTTTCATTTTTTCTCAACGTACGGTGAATGTTCAAGATTTTTCTCGTGGAGATGCTTTTCCTTCAGTTCTTTGTGAACTACGTGTTCGTGAGATTGTTTTGGTTGCCAGGTCAAAATTAATGTGAAAGATCATGGCTGGAGATGCTGGCTTGAGTGGCGCAGAGCGAGAGCGCCTCAAACATCAGCATGGTATGATGAATGTTCAACCTGATTGGGACTCGGCGTTCAAGTGAGTAAATTCATGTGAAGTCCTGGCAATGAGAGTAGTTTTGACGCGTTATACGAAATTTACTGGTGATTTGTCATTCTCCATACAGTATTTCACTTGGGCGTCTGTGCGGTGCATGTAGAAATGCACGGTACAGACGGGCTCTCCGCAACGAAATTCGAGGGACCAGGAAAATCTTGTTGAAGAATTTCTTTAACATGTGGAGAGTATCCAATGGAACCAAATGAAAATTCGTTATTAAGAGACCAATCGGTCTAGAGAGTCTGTGTACAGTATTAGGTTTTAAATCAATTTTGGTCTTCAATGCTTTTCAAGCAAAACTCTGAAACGAGTTTGCTTTTTTGGTTAATCGCGTATCTTGAGTGTGTATTGATGAATTTACTGTGTCTTGATTTTCCTAAGTTATTTTGATTTGATCGACTAACTCAAGTTCCACCTGGAAATTTTTTCTGCGTGACGGTTTCACACCTGAAAAAAATATTGATGGTACCGTATTTTGGACCGGTTATTTGAATCGGTTTGTGTTGAATACGCGTTACAGAGGAAAAGATGACGCCGTGTGGATCTCATTCAAGCCTCGAGGGGAGAAAAGTGTCCAGGGATTTATATCTCGTGAACTTCGCACCTCTACAACATGGAAGGGAGACGATAAATTCAAAGTTTTACGCTGGACACCCGGTAGTTCGTTGATCGTAGAGTACATCAAAACTGGATTGCGATCGAAATTTCTCGGAGCACAACGTGTATTCAGTGGTATACACTTGAAGAGTGTAAGGTTGAAGGCATTGCAGTCCTTGCGATTGAGGATTGGTTCGTAAAATCTTTGAGTTTACAGGTGAATAACATCGATGTGACGTCAGGAGGTCTTGGAGCGTCTTGCAGCTTTGAAGGAGAAGTTAAAATATGGGACACCATGCGTGGAATCGAAAGAGTATTTACAGTTGAACCTCAGTAACCTAAATCTCCCTGAGTAGTTTTTTTTTTAAGTCCCCGCCTGAATTTCCATAGAAAGAATGCATTAAAAACCTCTCCGAGTCGAAATTTTTTCCACTGATACCGTGCCTCCGTGACCTGAATTTTCTGAAGCCTTTTGGTTATTATATTCTTGACGCAGGAAAGAGAAAAGCCATGAAAAAACTAACTTGAAGTGTTTTGCAAGGAAGTGAAAGACTAATCGTGCAAATGAACCCCTCCCCCTGCGCCCAACTTCAGCGTCTAGTCAACTTTTTCAAGACGCAATTCAACGTGCAGAATATCATCATTTACCCTTTCCTGCAATTTTTCTGTCTTTCTGACGACAAAAAAGGCTTGGTTTCCCTAGCGCGAATTTTTTGCTGGTCCCTCAAAATTCGACTTGGAGAGGTTTGACTGTATTACATCTCAAGCTGCAGAGTTTGACCTGTGTTGCTGATGAATTTCTATTGCAGCGATCACTGGATGGTCACATCGATCTTGTCAGTGTTTGCAAATTCTTCCCGTCTGGAATCGTTCTCATCACTGGAGGTCTTGATATGCGGTTGAAGATCTGGTCTGCGGAAACCGGAGAGAATGCCGCAACCCTAAGTGGACACACTGGAGGAATATCGGCAATTTCGATTGTCGATAAGGGTAGAAACGTGTTGTCAGTTGCTCGGTTAGTTTGATGAAAGATTAATTTCATGCAGCATTATCGCAAATGAAAGTAAAAGGCAGAGCATGAGGTATTTTTAGAAAAACGGACTTGGCCCGTTTTGTGCAGTAGATGTAGTGGACCCTGCTGATTCACAGTTGAACCTCGAAATCTAATACCTTCCAATTTTTTTGCAAGTCCCTGTCTGAATTCCCTTACAAACAATGCATTAAAAAACTCGAAAACTATCCTCCTCTAACTCAAATTTTCTGGTGGCCTTTTGGCTGTCATTTTATTGACTCACGAAAGAGAAAAGCAATAAAAATGCTACTTAATGGAAGTGAAAGACTGCTTGGTCAAATGAACCCTTGCTTCCAAGTTCAGCATCCTGTCAACTTATTCAAGAAGCGATTCAAGGCACAGAACATCACAAATTGCGATTTCGTGTGCTGTCTTTTCCAGAGCAAAAATGTTTGTTTCCCTAACTCTCTGACATGCATTTTTTGCTGCTCCACTGAGGCTCAACTGTATTATCAGTGTGAAGAGGAATTTTTTTTCTGAGCGAAGATACTTCTGGAAATTTGGCTGCCATCATATTTCTTGAAGTGGATTGAAAAATTGATTTTTGCGTTACACTTTTTCTCATCTGGTTCTAGAGACGGAAACTGCCGATTATGGGATGTCGGTCAGAGCTCTTGTCTTCACGTATATTCAGTTGGCAAAGGAGTAATCAATTCCTGCGATTTGATGAGTCGCGGAATGGGGGACTCTGCGTCTGTTTCTGTCCGTGAGTTCATTTTTTCCATTCATCTTCACGGTGTCTTCTAAATTCTGAGACTTTTCAAGCTTATTCTCTGGATTCGGAAGAGTGGGAAAATATTTTCGACAGTGATATCTCTCGGTGAATTAGAAGTCGAATGGAAGTCAATTTAACCATCTATCTGAATTTTTAACTTATCATTACTGTAGAAGCCCAACCTTGTGTCTGAACTCTAGAATAACCTATTTTGAAGCGCTGCGCTCTTATTTGTATTTAGGAGTGTCAGCGCAGAGTTTTTTTTTTTTTGGAGGTAAGAGACCCAGAAACCCGAGAACCTTTTAGTACTTTGAAGTTCGTCATTTTTAAAGATCATTTTTGTTGTGGAAATGCTTTCCGTAAGGTGAACGTGAGATTGGGACGGAAGGAAAGATTTTGGCTCTCGGAACGGAAACGGGCGAGTTGGCATTGATAGATGTTCGGAGTCGAGAATTGTCGATGTCGACGAAGCTGGAAACAGCTGTCAATTTTGTCAAATGGACAAAGACGGAGTCTCTTGCTGCGGGATGCGAGGATGGTTCCGTTGCCATTTTTGACGCTAGAAAGCTGAGCGAACCTTCCTGTGTAAGATATCGTATACAGTATAAGTCACTGACGCGCATTCCTTGCGGATTTTCGCTCAGATTCTCATTTGACTTGATATGTTGGACGATGTTTCATAACTTTCAATGGAACTAAACACAGAACCTTTCGTTTTGGTTTTTACTGTTGCTGAATGCAGCCAGACCTCTAGCGACTGCAGGCTAAAAACTCAAGCAATCAAATCTCCTTTCATTGCGCTATTTTTTTCTTCCTTTGGGTGCTGAAAAGAAAAATAATGTACTGTACTCAGTTCTCGGGAAATTTTGAAAACATATTGTATTCGTTTTCTACCTGTGTTTTCAAAATGTTGGTCCCACAAATGATTCTCAGATGCTGTGGTGAGGAAAATTGAGATCAAATAAAGGAAACCTAGAGTGGCGCTTAATGTTTTAAAACAATTCAATGTAAAATGCCTTGCGAAATAAAAAGAAGAACGTTTGTGGAATCCATTCTTTGAAGAGTGACTTTTGATTTATGAGCCCCTGAAGTGCAGTATCCAGTTTACTTATTGTATTTCCTCAAGTAACCCAGGTTTTTCAGTCTAAAATTTCGAATAAATTCATCACGGAAAGAGACACGCTCCTTAATTTTAGTGACTCTAAAATTGCAATATTTCAAAATCACCCAAGTTCGAATTTTGAATAAAATTGAGCCTGAATTCCACCAATTTCCTAAGGTTTCCATAAAAAATAAGTTTTTTGATAAATTTGGTCCAAAATCTCGCATTAAAATCAAATATTGACTTGATTACCATATACCCTCAAGTAATGCTCGCCCCTGAATTTGTAGGTGCAAGCCCACTTACAATTTGAGTCCAATAACAATGAATTTGTCTCACGCGAATTAAAGAATTCTGTTAGAAGAGAACTTATGAAAAAATTTTAAAGTTGGAAACAAATGCCGAAAACATTTGTGGAAAAATGTAACGGTACAGTACTTGATAATTTGTACCGATGTTCACCCCTTTTTGTCACTTTTTTTTTTGGAAAACTGAGATTATACCCGCCTTTGACGAGCACCCACTTTTTCTTCACTAGTTTCATTTTTTTAAATGGTGCTTTTAGGTAATTCAGTAAATATAGTAATTACCTTCGTAATGAAACAGGTGCTTCATGATTCGGCGAGCCCAGTTCTCTCTGCGTTGTCTGTTGGATCCGAACGAGCTCACGGTGGAGGCGGACTAGTGGTTGGAAGACGCGATGGCACGTGTTGCGTTTACACTGCTGAAGCGTTGGTGGGGAAAGCGTACGACGGAGACGGAGCATTGTTTCCCATGTTCCTTACGGGATCAGATTGCGATCCCATCTACGGATTGGCTTCTGCAGATGGCTGTGAAACAGTTTTTACTGCTGCGAGAAACGGCTTGATTCGAAGATATAATCTGCTTACCCCTTGATGTATATTTCTTGTTTCCTCTTTGCTTGAGAACTGTGACTTTTTTTTTTTTCGTGCTAAAATTTGAATGATTAAAGTGTTGATGCGTAAAACTTGGTCATTTTTCGACTCCTATCTTGCCACTCAAACCCTTCTTCCTAGCGATGTCCAATATTTGTGCACGCAGTCCAGGAAAATCTAATACCCGGTTGTACAATTATTTATGCAGGGGGACTCTCTGCCAACGATTTTCTTAGGAAAAATATTTTTTTGGTCCCATAGCGTTTTCTTCCTATATTATGGGGTTTCTTAAAAAAAATTTCTGGTTCCTTGAATTTATTTTAGAGAGGGAGAGAGTCGATATGTATGTCCGGTTGATCCTCTTTTGAAACATACATGGTCGATTTGAACGCTCTTCGAATTGAATTTTTAACTTAAGCCCACTTGAAATTGCTACTTCTAAATCTTGAATACCTCTGACGAATCACCGACGATTCATGAGCACAGAAAGGGTGAGGTTTTCTAATACAGTACATTTTTCGGACACTTGATTGTCCTGAGGACTTGTAGAAAATTGTGAATGATCATGAAGTTGGAAATCATCAATTGATTAATTCAGCGATGAGTGAAGTACTGGTCGGTAATTCACTTCTTCCCAAATTTTATTTGAGGGAAATTGGATTAGCTGACGGGGAAACGATTCTGACAATGCCTTGACTATCTGCATTGGCCCACATTTTCAAATATAATATTGAAAAAACTTCGGACTGTGTACAAAAATTGGATATGCTATGGTATGTGTAGATTTTTTCAAGCGGATGTTGTAAACTCCTCCTATTTCGATGATGAGGTGATTTTTTTCCAGTCATTGCGAAAAATGTCTTCGGACGAAGGAATCAAAGGTTACATTTCCCCACATTTCGATGACATGGCGGTGACCGAATGTGTGAACCCGGATTCAAATTTTTTTGCAACTGGGAAATCTTCGGCGGATGTAGAAGCTGAGGAGGAAGAACTCGGTAAAATGTGTCGTTTCACGGAAATCGGGAAAGCCTGCGAGAAGAATTATTGTCACAATCGTCACTTTTTCATCGAGAAAGGTTACTTTTTGTAAATACAGTAGTTCGATTGAAGCAAAGAGATCTGTATTACGAGCTGTATATCATTGAAGTTGTCTCCTTCAGATGTGACGATAGCGTCGATTTTCACTCCGGAAATGTCTCCGAAATTGCCGGAAATTTCTTCAGATTGGATCGTGACTGTTCTTCACGTCGAGTCGCCCAGAACTGCGTACTTACGTTTTCATCGGCCTGCGACGAGTGATCAGCTACAGCTTGGAAGTAAGCCCTTCTGTTTTTTCCTTCAATTTCCATAGTCACTATATCTGCAAAGTTCTTCGCCATTCCATCGGCCTCCCGTCAATTTTCAATGCTCGGTTGCATGGCACTTCTTGTGGGAATTCGAGATGGCGTGATCGGGCTTTGTCATATTAGTGATTCAGGCGTCATCTATGTGATATTTCTGAAAGTCGAGTTGGTCGCTGCATTGGAAGGAACCTTTTTTAACTTTCGAAATAAAATGTATGTTAGTTGTTGATATAGCTGGAGAGGATCCATTGGAAACTTTGATGGAGTCATTGACGGAAACGTACGATCGTGATCCTGGTTACCTCAAAGTCGCAGGAATTCCTAATCGAGGTGAACTGTTGATCATTAAAAACGACGGAAAAAGTTACAAGGGATTGAAGAACCCGTGGTTGAGAGCGATTGTGGAAAGCGTTGAAATGAGTAGTCAAACCAAATCAGCAATCTTCAAGGTAATTCATTTTTAGAAAAAAAAAGGTGATTTGTCCGTTTCGTTCGAGCCGTTGAGAAAATTTCGTTAGTCACCTGCTGTGTGTTGCTATGAAATATTTTTGTACTCCTTCATCCATTTCTATGTTTTGGTTAATTCATCCGCCTACAATGAAAAAGATGAACGAGGAAATAATTTGATGTGTGATAACGCTATTCATTTGGTCCTTTTGTAATTCTCTTTTTTTAAGTTTCATGGACAATAGTCGAAAACTATCAGATCTTGCATTCACAATGTAAATGCTGTTTTGCGTTAACTATTTATTAAGGTACAGTACCTGTAAATTGTCTGCGCCTTCGCTTTATTTGTCTTTTTTCTCGTAAATTCATGAATCATGACGGAGGTTGAAAATCTAATTGATGGTCACTCAAAAGTAATACGGTTTTAAAGAAAATGGGGTAGTGGCCTCTGATGATAGAATTATTTACATGCATAATTTGTTGAAAATCTCTTCCTTACACGTGACGTCAATCGTGAAAATTGATCAAGTTCCAGCCCAGTTTTCAAAAATTATTTTGCGTGGCAGGTTCAATTGCTGGACTACGGAGTTAGGTTGGAAGTGGAGTCCAAGAATTGCAGAAGATGGGTCAAGGTGGCAAGCGAGGTTCCGATTCAATCTCTAGCAGTTGTTGTTGATGCCTCGAGTGACGAGAAGTGTAACAAACGTAATTTATTTGATTTTCCGGGTTCGGAAAATCGTCATCTTGTTGCCACAGTGTTGGAGTGAGTTGGATTATGATGCTTCGAGATAGAATCGTTGTGATTCTTGTTTTATTTTTATGAACAGTATCATATCTGAAGGACCCTATCACAAGCTGGTGGTAAACCTGAAAGCAGTGGAGTCGTTTCTCGTCGAAGATCGAAATAGGTTTCTCTGATTGATGAGCTGCGAGGCGCTAAAATCTTCTGCAGCAAGTGATTTCGTATTTTTCGATGGCAAGATTGCTAGAAAATTTCCATTGATTTTTCCATTTTCATTTCGGCTTGATTCTACGTTGCGATTGGTTTTTTCAATGTAGAAATAATTTGCTGTATTGTTTTTAACTTGAAGTTCATGAGATTATTTGGTGCTGGAGTAGTGTGTCATCTGTAGAAATTTCACGTACGCATCAATGAGTCGTCCTTTCGTCTCTCCTCTTTCGTTTTATCTTCCGAATACAGTATTTGTCTTTCATGCTACTTTTTTGAAGACGTCCTTGGTTTTTCATTCAAGTTATTCATTGGGGCACTTGGGCGCTACATTTTGCACGTTTCAAGTTCAGTTTTTTACTTCGATATTCGAATAACAGAGGGATATTTTTGTGAGAAGGGTTCCTGATTCCAGCGTGTAGTTGAAAATTTAAATGACCGAAAACTGTCTCTAAAACTGCGTGATCGTAATAATTAGTCTTTGAAGAAGCTCTCAAGACCTTTCAGGAAATTGTAAGATCCTTAACTCGTTCTCACGTATATGTAGAAAGTAATTCTTGATGAACCAGTAACCGACTTCTGTGTCTCGTCATTCTTGCTTGCGGTAAAAAAAAAGACATGATTTGCTCGGAAAAGATGTGGGAAGGTAGGAAATTATCTTGTGTCTTTCCAGGAATGCTACAATAATGCATTGATGAACGCTTGCTCGAAACATGAATCGTAATTTTACTGCTTAGGGAAATCGGAGTCGTACATTCGCAGTATTTAAGCATCGTATCAAATGGGAAATTTCGAGGGACTTCGAGACTCGTACAGGAAGAGGAAGCTGATCGTGGGGATAATACCTGCAAGGAGAATTTATTGCTGTCCATGCAAATTTTGTTCAAAAAGGAAGGAATGAATTTTTGTAGGTGCAGTTTTTAGCTGTAGATTGAATGTTGCCGCATGAAATTGAGGATGCTTTTCATCTAGTGCTGTACGATGAATGACACACTAATCCAGCACCTGAAATTCTTGCAACATTTTAAAATTCACGAATCTGTTTTCAGGGATGTGAAGATTTCCCCCGAACAATGTTCAACGATAAGCAAGTGACGATAGCCGTCGGTGTGGCTACTGTTTCAGCAATATTTTACTTTTTGCACAAACGTCTTCGGTCCAAGATTCCGACTGAGTGGCGAAAAGTTGGAACTGTCGGCCGAATTCATTGTTACCCGGTGAAATCCTGTGGAGGGATTTCTCTTCAGTGGGCCGAGTGTCAAAAATATGGAATTGTCTTTGATGGCGGAAGAGATCGGTTAGTCTTTTTAGTCATCTTTTAAATTATGCTTCTCGCCTGGGGTTTCTTGCTTATCATTTTGTTGGCGGTTGAGTTTTTTAAAGAGACCTTCTTTTCTGAGTTCGAAGGTTTTTTTTTTCCGGAGTTTCGATTGTGCGATTAGATCTCTAATGCTTGATTCGTCGCAAATTAAGGGTAATTCGGTTTTCTTGGTGATCAGATGATTCGCGAAGTGTTGTGTCAATCCGTGCCTTAAGCAGTGAAGAATTCTGTTAATTTCTGCGTTGGGAATCTAAAAAATGTTCTGATGAAATCTTTAATTTTCTGCGGATTCGCTAAAATATTCCGTTATGAACTTTAGTGAACAGACCGAAATTCCGTGCCTCACTTTCTGGGCTTCAGTTGTCCAATTGCAGATTACCGTAACTATATAGGATAGAGTAATTGGAACAATCTTTGTAATTATCAGGAATTTTTATGAAAACTGAAAAATTTTAAACTAGCCGAAGATTTTTGGAAGCATGAAATTAATTTATTGCTGCGAACAACTTCGGCAAATATTCCTCGTTATTTAATTTTTTTTAAACTTTCTAAACCTTCCCAAGGGCATGATTCTGCAGGAAATGAATCTCGAAACGAGTTCATAAATTGTTTCTTACTTGTTTCTGGTTTTTTTTTAGTACAGTACCTTCGTGAGTGATCATGAAGTTGAAGGATACTCTTCCGATCGATAGAAAAAATGTCTTTTTCTTTTCAGAGCTTTTGTCATGCTGGATAAAAACGGAGAGACGTTGAGTTGTAAAACCTACCCTCGTGCCTGGCTCATCAAATTGCTCCGTCGGGGAGATGTAATTGCCCTCAGCTGTCCAGAACTTCCCGATTTGTTCATAAATCTCAACGACGTGCTTACGAACAACGTCCGAGCGTCAGTAAAGTGAGTCTTCCGGTCGTCGAAGAAATAAGTTTCCGGTGATAACATTTTTTTCATTTCTTTGTGAAGGATGTTCAAGAGTGAAGCTCCGGGCTTCGACGTTGGAGATGAAGCTTCCGAATGGCTGGGGAAGGCCTTGTTGAAGGATCTTTCCGAAGAACGAAGGAATGCAGTTGAGCCGTTGCATTTGGTTTATATGCCGGAAAATCTAAGTCGGAGTATGAAGCATCACGAGAATACTTTAGATGGATTCGATGCATCTCACATGGTGCGTGTTTTTTCAATTGATTTATCGAAAATTTATACGGTATTTTACTGTCGAACCTCTTAAAGCCGTATTTCAATGGACCAGCAAAAAATTCGAGGTAGGGAAACAAGCATTTTTGCTGTGAGAGATTTAGAAAAATTGCAGAAAATTGTAAACGGTGATATTCTGTCCCTTGAATTGTTACCTAAATGAGTTGACAGGATGCTGAACTTGGAGGCAAAAGTTCATTTGCCCAATTAGTCTTTCACTTCCTTTCGAAACGTATCAAGTTACTTTTTTATTGCTTTTCTCTTTCCTGTGTCAAGAAAATAGTAGCCAAAAGGCTTCCAAAAATTCGAATTACGGAGGTTTGAGAGGAAAAGGCTTCGAGTTGAAGAGGTTTTTAATGCATCGTTTCGAAGGGAATTCAGATGGGGTTTTGAAAACAATTTGACTTGGTTGAGGTATTCGACTTATTGAGGTTCAAATTATTATCAAGAACTGTAATTGCTGTTATATTTTTATTACCTGAATGTTTCGCCACATCGCGTTGGTCGACCTACGTTTTACAAGATCGCCTGAAATTTATTATTCTGTATGTGTTCTTTGTATTTAATTCTTTCTAGAGTAATTTTTCAGGCGTGACGTCGTACCTAGTTATCGGTGATGGAAGCATAAATGACTTGAATTCACGTCTGGAGAAGTCGATTGATGAGCGACCATTCCGTCCAAATGTGTATGTTCATGGCACTGGAGCCTATGAAGAGAACAAGTGGGAGTACATCAAAATCAAAGGTGCTGTTTTTCGGGGAATGCTTTCGTGCACCCGGTGTCCTATAGTCAATTCCGATCCGGATCAAGGGTGTTTCCGTGAAGACAGTCCCTTGCAAGTGTTGAAGTCGTAAGTACCATAAACGTTTTTGGTTTTTGTAACGATACTTTTTTATTCTTATGTACTCGTTATCGATGTTCAGTGTTTTTTTTTAATTTGTGAGAAATTATGGAGCCTCAATTAATTACAGTCGTAAGCAAGATGAATAATGAACTTCTCTGTGAACGATTCCGACATGTTAGTGAAATTTTTTGCGAATTCAGGTATTTTTATGGTTCTCGTTGCAGTCGATTACTGTAACTGCAAAGCTCTTCGTTTTGTAGAGCGAATATCTTTCTGAATACTGTACCTCAATGAGAAAGGTTTATTAAACCCGTCTGGGAGGCCCACAAACCGTCATAAATAAATCATTTATTCAAAAACTTGAATGAATGAATGAACAGAACACTTTATTTGCCGCTTTTCAGCGTTCACAAGGTTCAATCAAGATTTCCACAACCAAAACCCCCTTCCCACCCAACCCAAATCCACTCAATGCCATTTAATCACTTCAGAACAGGAAAGCACAAATTGATATTTAAATAAAGAAATAAAATAAATGAATAAATAAAATTTTAAAAAATAAATAAATAAATGAAAAAAGAAAATACAATACAACATGAGTTACAATTGGACATCTGACATGTATGCATACACCCATTCATTCCCTGACATTGGTAACAAAATATATGTAAAAATTAATTTAAAGCACAGGGTCTTCAGCTTGTTTTCTGTATGAGGTTCAAAAACTTGAATTGGAAAAAAAGACTAGTTACTTTAAGCATGACCTCTCTCTGGTGCGTCTTCCTAACTTATGTAAACTCAAGGTATGATAATTTTCAATCTTGATTAAAAATCCTCAAATTTGCTACAATTTTTCTCTTTTTTTACCAACAAATTTCTAAGTACAGTACTCTCATCAGTTGTTGAATATACTCTATCAACAGGTTTCGCTCGGAAGAGGATTCGAAAGTGCTGAAATTCAAGGAGAAAAACATCCACGGTCCAATTGTTGGCCATTATTTCCAGCTACTCTGTGAAGATTGCATTGAAGTGGGAGACGAGGTTTTTGCATATCCCTGAAGCAAATGGGCCGTAGAATATGACGAGCCTCTTACGAACACAGAGCTACTTAAAGCAGAGTTCAACGAACGCTTCGGGTTTCTTAATCGCATTCAATTGCCTCTCTTTTTAACGCGTTGGCATTTTTATTCCAGGTACGAATAAAATGGTGAATCATGAAAATGTGATGATAGAGAAAGTAATGCAACTGAGTCGACTTTTGAACGCGAACTTGAAACCAAAAGAGATCGAGTGCATCGTGAAAGTTCTTCAACTCGGAATCGACCCCGCAGGAGTTGCAGAAGCCATTATTTTGCTTCGGAACGTCGCCGGAGAAAAAGAAGCGGAGGCTAACAAACACGAGAGTCTGTATTTTTCTTGATAACATCTAGTATAAACGCACGAAAAATAACAATAATGCGAGTGATCAGCAATTTGATGAAGCTTCTGTGCACCAGTCCAGCAAATGCCGCTCTGCGTGAAAGATTGGGCGCGAACGAGGTCAAAAATATTATAGACAACTTGCGAGCCAGGGAAGAGCCTGCGGTGCTGTTGAAAAAGTTTGAAGATGTCATGGCGGATCCATCTAAAATGGACGAACTTCCGACTTTGCTGCGGGATTTACCGAACGATCTTCACTCGTCACTCGACGTCACCTGCAAAGAACCACGTCTCGTCAATGCTGTCGGCGTACAGAAAGAATTCAACTTCCGACCGGAAACATGCGAACGGCTCGGATCCGCCTTGGACGGATTCCTTTCCGAAAATTTGACGCTTCTCACTGGCCCTCGTTCCTATGCCTTCAAGAGCCAATTCGCCGACTTGGAGTCTGCTTTAGTGAGACGTAGTGTGAAGGAATTGCGGGAACGTGGGTTTCGGTTTGTGTCAGTGCCGGATGTGATCCCGCAGCGGGTGGTTACGGGTTGTGGGTTCCCCGTGGAAGGCGAACGAACCCAGGTGTTTTTCGTGAACGCGAAAGACGAGGATGAGAAGCGGTTGTGCTTATCTGGCACTGGGGAAATGGGCATTGCGTCTTTGCTGGAGAACAAGATTGTGAAGGGATCCGAGTTGCCGTTGAAGTTTGCGACTGTTTCGCGTTGTTACCGAGCCGAGGTGTCGGATTTGAAGCAGGAGAAGGGTTTGTATCGAGTGCATCAATTCACCAAGGTGGAGATGTTCTGCGTTGGAAGGAACTCTGACGAGTTGCTCGAATATATTCTACAGGTGAATCTATGGTCTTCCTTGTCATTATGACACTCATAAATTCCGTAATCGACGAATACTGTATCAGAAACTGTGAACCTTCTGGTCAAGATTGAATACAAAAACGGTTGTTGTTCATTGTTCTAACCCCTAAATTCCGAAGAAATACGGAATCTTCCCATTTATTGTGGATGGCACAAGGAAACTATAGGAAAGGAAGTTTTATTACCTCTAAAATTTATTGAAATGCTTTTGCAGGTGCAGAAAGAGCTTTTCACTCCTTTGGACCTCCATTTCAAAGTCCTGGACATGCCTGCGTGTGATTTAGGCACTCCAGCCAGTCGCAAGTTCGACATCGAGGCCTGGATGCCCGGAAGAAGACGCTACGGGGAGATCTCTAGTTGCTCCAGTTGCTCGAACTACCAAAGCAGTCGTTTGAACATAACCGACGAAACCGGCGAGTTGGTGGAGACTGCGAATGGAACAGCGTGTGCAGTGCCTCGAGTCATGATAGCGTTGTGCGAGACCCATCAAACCCAAGAGGGCTCCGTTCGGGTTCCGGATGCATTGGTGCCTTACATGCCCGGAGGAGCAACAGAGACTTTATTGGAGAAGCCGGCGTTGAGGTTTAAACATGTCTGGATCAAGTCCTTGTCTGGCAAGAATAATAGAGAAAGAGCCGAGGCGAGGAGAACGACTGGTGAGGAAGATGGTGGTCTGGAAGTCAAGCAGCGTAAGCGAGGAGTCAAAGTCGGCTGACAAAAGTTTTATTAAAATTCTTTTTTTGGCCTAGTGAATTAAAATTTGTTTTAACGTGATCTAGTTCGTATGCGTGTATTTTATTTCCCGCCTTCCGGTTTTTTTTTTTTACGCTCAAATGCGCTTACTAATTCGCGTGTGTTTCTTCTCGAATTTTTCGGTTTAGTGCATGTTCATCACTTGACGAAGCCAGTGAATTACATTACTATAATACCGTATAAAGAGAGCAAAGCAAATGTTTAGTCTCTTTTCAACTAGAGGACGCAAGCTTCGGTATCCTGATCCAGTGAAAAACTTGTACTGTATCTAAACTCGAACAGCAACTGTTCATGACCAATGAAAGAACAATTTTGTGGAAGTGACTCGAATTTGCTGGCGGCCGCGAAGTTGTTCTGATTCTGCGACGCTAATAATGGATGACATCGTATATTCGGGTTAATTGGGTACTCAGAACATAAGCAATGATGCACGACTTTTTTATGTTTCATCGTAGAACCCGTTGAAGTGCAGTATCAATGTTCCGAATTAATCCATTGTATAACTCAATAGCCTGCTGGATCAATAATTTTGTGTTGGACATTAAGGTTTTCAGATGTTCATTTGAAACGTTTATACAGTATTTAATTAGACGTTAAGATAGAAAAACCAGTAAACACATCATCTTCCGTGTTGAAGTCCTCGACGAAAAAAAAGTCAAGTGGTACTTGAAAGTATAAACCTGATCCATAGTTAAATATTTCTGTTGCAGTCCTATCAGTTTTATTTTAAGGGAAAGTCCTGCCGGTTACAATTCCTGCATTTCGAACCGATTGGCGACTTTGTTCGAGGAACGTTTCATGATTGACTTTCAAGTATACTCACCACATCTTGTCTTCTTCTGGTTCTTCGTTTTCTCCCCAAATTTTCTTGAAGCAAATGTTAAAAAGTATTACAGTCACGGGAAGTTGTTATACACTGATGTGACCTTCGAAAAAATTTCTGAAGATTTTAAATATTCAACCCAATAATAGCATCTTGGTTTTAAAAAATCCTCGCGGTATTTTCCGTCTGCATTTTTTGCCTCTTTAAGAACAGTGGTATTGTTTTGGAGAGCCATGGAAAAGTTTGTCGGTCATAAAACCCATGAGCCCTGCCTCGGTAATAATTTGGAAATGGAGCCGTTTCGGTAGGGTTTTATGAAGGGGATCAGACTCCGAATTCCTCGACTGTGTGGTCTATTCTCTCAGCCGCAGTTGATTAACTTCGGGGGAAGGAAATGATGAGTTCTTGGCCTCCCGCTAAACACTGGGATCTCTGGAAGGCTTTATTGTGAAAGAGCAGAAAAAGGAAACCTGTCAGATTTTGTAAAGGGATGTTCGAAGTTTATTATTCTGAGCACCCATGGCCGTGGTTCCTTTTAAATGTTGAATGTAGTGGTTGATATACTGCTGTACTAATTTTTTTTTTAATTTATTTTAGAAATAACTGTGCGACTTTCAAGCAAAGTTACTGTATGAGGGCTGTCCTATAGTTGGGGCTGCAAATTGAAATTTTGTTGTTTCAAAATACTGGATTGTATATTTGTTCATACAAATCAACATTTTTTTTAGCTGGCCTGACACATTTTTTAGCACTTGTGACATGGGAGTGATGGTGGAGAACTCTGGCTGTAACAGCAAAGTTTTCACTCATCATGCAGTAGATTGAAATTTTGGTTTCTGAATAAAAAAAACCCCCCCAGGACATCATTGGTTCTATGTCATACAACTTTTAAAAATCATTACCAGCAGTCTGGAAATATCAGAGCTCAAGTTCAACTGGGACAACCCTTGTATAGTGCACTGGAGTCCTGAGTTTGAGACATAATTATTTCTTGGGCTGTATCCATATACAGTAGGGCTGCTGTCATGTTTTCCATTAGACTTTGATGCGAATATTTTTAAAAACTCCCCATGCTTGGAAGAAAGGAAAATGAGTTCTCCAAAAAAATGAGAGCGAAATTTTTTCTCAGCTGGAAGATGTATAAAATAATCTCATTTACTTATTCCTTCCAAAAAATGTTTCTTCAACCTAACTTCTTTTTATTTTAGAAAAAGCTAAGGTATTTCTGCATTGTATGATTACAGTATTTTGTTCAGCTGAAAGTCGAAGCAAACTTTTTATTTGAAGTAAGAAACAAAGGAGAAAAACTGCTGCCATTTCTGGGATGGCAGGTGTTTTTATAATTCATCAAGGGAAATTTAATTCCTCCCTTAAAATGTGATAGATTTGTCATATACAGTATGCCTACTTGAAAACAAACTTCGCCACACAAATTTGAATGAAATGCTAGTCAAAAAAATTCTTCTATATTGTGTGAAGTTTTTGACCACAAAAGGCTTGCATTTTTGCAAGATTTGAAGTGAACCTTAAAAGATGGTAAAATGGAAGTATACTTTAGCTTTCCTTATGATGATCTTGACAACTTGAAAATTTCAGCTAGTTGCGTTCAAACTTGTCAGGAATACGTAAATCTCATGTGTGTAAACATTTTTGATTCTTAATTTATGATGAAAACTTGCAGAAATGTGTTGCTGTTAAAGCTCATCATGGTGTTTGTGTTTGTTCAGAGCAGGATATATTGAATATTTTTTCAAATTTTAAATTAGGAGGAACGTTTTTACCAGAACAAAATATGCATCAAGAAATGCATCCCAGAATGGATATTAGCTTTGTTGTGCAGGTATATACCCTTTGTGTATACTAGTATACACCAAATATACTAGCTCACAGCATACACACACAAAAATGAGCTTTTAAAATTGGAAAAATTCATTTTCATCGCATTTCAAGAAAATTTAAACGTCTTCAATTGAAGTAAGGTTGGAATAGCTTTTATTTGAAGAAACAAATTTTTGAGGAAGAATAAACCAAAAAAAAGTGACCCAGCTTATTGTCCTCTTATGTCTGATCACTTGTGCGTTGGAAGTGGCTCAATCACCTTATTCGTGATACACATGAAAGCTGCGCTGGGCCTTGAACTTGACCGCCCTTGGCTTGCACCCCACAGAATCCGGAAGTGGGCGTCTTTATGTTGAGAATAAGCTTCACGGAATTTTGAAGAAGACAAAAGATTGTCACGGAATCTCTGCTGGTTATAATCCCTTACACGGGAGGTCTGTTAGGCGGGGGGCCACTGTATTTATTAGCCTGTACAGTATATACTGATGAGATTATGAACATACATTATGTATGAAGCCATGGCTTCATACATAATGTATGTTCATAATCTGTGAAAGAGGGACTCAGTGAAGTAGCTGAAGGAATATCTTTCAAACTGTGTACTATTACAAATGGACTCCATAATCTATACAACAATAAACTTGCCTAAAATGATTTTTGCTGTATGACAAATCTTCTGGTCCCATGCATACAGGGTTCTCTCCATATGTCAAGGGGTTCTCTTACAACAAAATTATCTCTATGCAACCAACTTTTTTTTCTTTTCTTTTCAATATTGTTATAGAGGGAGTCCACGTATGAGCATATATATTTTCCCCTTCCTTTAAAAAAATACTTTGGAATGTCTGGATTAAGTCTCACTCAAGTATAGAAAGAAGTTCTTTTCATGTTTATTTCCATAGCCCCATGTTCAAATTCCATGTGGAATTTTCAAAGAAAATTCAAATCTTCATTACAAATTCTCACCAAACCTGCAAGAACTGTGCAGAAATTTAGAGAAAAACAGTCAGTCCATGATATATTGCTTTTGTAAGAAATAGCCAGATGTATGCTGTAATATGTAAATGATTGGGTATAGTTTTTATGTCATAAAACATGATTACAAGAAAGAATCCACCCAATAAAAAATGTCTAGCTTTTCCTTTATATTACTATGGAACTGAATTTTCAAAAATATGTCAGGCAGAGGAAAAAAAAAGCAATTTGGGTATTAAAACTGAGCTGTACCTCAAGATTATTTCTGAACATTATATCATTTCAATATTATTTCTTAAATTTACTGAATGCTTAAACAATCATACCCATAGGAAATAAATCCTCCTATAGTTTCAAGATGGAAAATCTCAACATCCCTTCCACTGCATTTCCAAAATGCCAGCCAGTATCTATTATTTCATACTACAACTCCTACTTTCCGGTACAAAATCCGATACAGTGATTCGGAATTACTTTCTTCCTGTTTGTGGCTTATATATTTATATGTAAGAATTTTTCTCTTGTGACCTGTGTTTTTTTCTGGGCTTTCCCTTTCTTCCTCCTGTAGCTTCCGTTGATTTGTTCCGGTGACTGATTAGAACCGCCCTCTGCATGTGTGCTCAAGTGCTGGTTCAAATAAGTACCATCCAACTGACCCCTAAAACATTTGAGCGCAGCCCAACTGATCATCATTGCAAATGAGCTGACATTTTGATTTAATTGATGCACAATAGGCATTCTAATTGATAGTTACAATTTCTAATGAATCCTTGGCAAATCCCTGAGAAACCAGAGCATGTTGAACCTCCCCAATAACTCAAAACCTTGTGGCTCATATGAAAACTTCCTTTTTCACATTTTTGCAGGTCTTCCTGAATTTCACAGGTTAGAACAATGAAGGGACTTTCTTCAGGTATTTCAGAAATGCACACTAATAATTTGGTCATGGAGGTATTATCTTTCATTAAATTCGACAAGTATTATTGGACCATATCCCCTGAATTATCACACCAATGAAGTGGAATATTGTGTAGTCCATTTGAACTTGCCTCATGGAGAGGTTCCACTGCATCACACTTAGTGCCAGAGCATTGCTTTCAAATTTTTGATGGACCCATAGTTTGTGAACCTTTTTTGTGGTTACACCAAAATATTATAATGTACACAGCAACAAATATCTTTGGTTCTGTGCTAAAAATGATATGATGTATCAAAATTTAGCAAGTGTTTTACTGGCCAGTGTCAATTCATGCAGGGCTTAAAGGAAACCTTTCATCTGTACAGCTTCTTCCACAGGAAATTCAAGCCTTTTGATATATAACTCTCTGTGAAGAAATAAAAAGATATCCTTTTCAACACCCTTCTGTTAGGTTGAATATGAGAT